GGCAGTGGAGAGGAGAACTGTTCTCTTTCTTCAGGACTACTACAGGAGACGACAGCAGCAACTCATGTCAGCCTGGTCTGAAGTTGCCATCTGAGTCATATGATGTCCATGGTACAGAGGAAGGTCCAACAGAGGAAGGTTTATGTCCATCCTGTTCTCTTTGCTACTTCACACTCACTCTAACTCTGCTCCTGCATCCACCTTCCACAAGGCTCTATGGCTAACACTCTCACTATTGCTCTCATTTCCTTCATTGCTGTCATCCACTGCAGCCCCCCAGATGACTACACCTGCAAACCCTCTGCAATTACTACTCAATTACCCTGGACACCTCACCACATTCCCCCCACCTGCACCAGTTGTAACAAGTATGCCAACCAATTTCATCTCATTCAACCCTCCCTTTCTCTCATTCCAAGAAAAAACAGCCCACCACAGGACGGAGACAACCAAGATGGGTAGTGGGATGCTGACATCTGTCTCCTTACCCCCTACAAGGAGAGATTCCTTGCCCAACAGTTGAGGACCGTGACAGCTCATGTGATGATCCCAAGAGTTCCATTTCCTGGTAACCAAATAAAATTTACTGTTATGTGCTACACTGCTGTCCTATTACCATGACTATGAACGTGTTCTTAACTTGCCCAAACTTCTACTCCTATTTCACAATTCATTCTCTCTCTTGTCTCCAGCAGGCACTAGTGGCATTATCATAGTCTCAGCCATGAAGACAACAGTCACGGAGGGCATCATCTCCTCCTCCACCTTTGAGAAAGTGTCTGGCAGCTTCAGTGGTCAGGCTAACAGCAGCCTCGGTAACCCACTTCTAGTAACATTCAACGTTGGCTGAATATTCGGCACAAACCTGCTCTCTATCACTTAAGCTATTGGTGCTCAGCACCAATGGCAAGGCAGTTGGGGGATAAGGGACCTTGACCTCATTCCAAATGCCCATTCCTCACAAGGAGACAGGATCTTGCCAGAAGGCACCCAGCAGGAGGAGGAACCACATATAGGGCTTGCAGGAGTCACCTCTCAGGTCACTTCATAGAAGACCAGCACTTCCATCTCTCCTCAGATACATGGAAGCACCTTTCCCAAACCATACTCCTTGCTGACTCCATTTCTTCAATGTTGCTGGATCTAAGTCCTGGAACACTTTCCTTAACACCTTCTTGACTGCCCACAGCACATGGATTGCAGCAGTTCAAGAAAGCACCTCACCACTACCTTCTCAAGGGCACCTAGGAATGGGCAATAAATGCTGGCCCAGCCAGCAATGCCCACTTCCCATGAATGAATAAAAAAAAATCTCTGCTTTCAATTCCCAAATCTGTGGGAATTGAGGCTGAGGTAGGTAAACCTGCAATCTAGGCAGGAAACTCTCAGCATGTCTGGACCCTCTAGCTACAAATGCTTTGGGGGTCATATCACCCCAAATTCTATGATCGACAGGCTCTAATACAGGGCAGGCTGCTTCCACTTTGGCTGCAGACAGTTGGACTGCACATTATTGTGGTGGAAGAAAAGGAGAAAGTAATCCTTCTGAGGGCACATAGGTGGCACGGGTGATATTTCATTGAAAACACATTATCACATTTGTAAATCATATTCTCTGTTCATTGTCAGCTTTGTGAGCAATTGTCTTATACCCGTCATTGGTGCCAATAGAAAAAGGTGGTGTGCTGCAAATACAGTGGGCATCTGACTGCTCCCTCTAAACAGAGTAAAGCACCACTGCCCTTCTTTTATTTACATGACATTCCATAGAAGACAGGCAACTGTGGTTCACCTGCAGGTTTGCTACAGCATGTAGGCAAATTGTGTCCAGCTCTGGGCACCTTATTTAAGGCAGGATATTAAAGCCAATGTAAAGGAGATTTACTTGAATGATACCAGGAGTGAGGGAATTTTGACACAAGGAAGGTTTAGAGAAATTAGGTTTATTCTCCTTGGTGCAGAGAAGATTAAGAGCTGAGCTTACTGAGTGTTCAAAATTATGAACATTTTTGAAAGGGTAAAGAAGGATATTCTGTTTCCACTGGTTGGAATGTCAAAAACTAAGCATCACAATTTCAAGACTGTCAGCAAGAGAACTAGGACTGAGATGAGAAACTTCTTTACTCAGAGCGTTGTTAGGATTTGGAATGTGCTGCCTGGGAGAACAGGGGAGGTGGATTCCATACGAGGTTTCAAGACAGAGCTGGATATATATTTGAAAATGAAGAATATAGAGGCTACAGAGATAGGGCTGGAGAATGGGGCTTGCTGGATAGCTTTCAGGAGCCAGTACAGACATGATGTGCCAAATGGCATCCTTCTGTACATAAAATGCTACGATTCAATCATGAGGTCACCTATGATTGGAAACTCCGCATAAGGAGGTGGTTCACATCTCCTGGAGTTTGCTGCTGCTCCAGATGCTTGTGTTCATCACCTATCAGTGTAGATGCTATTAGTGCAATAGCCACAGAGGTGACCATAGCTTCTGTGCCTGAATCAAATAAGGAGGGTTCCAATGAGCCTATGTGGGCAATATCAGAAATAAAGTAGCTCCTCTGTGACATGATCAGTCAGCAGTCACGGTACACACAAATTACATTTAAACAACATCCTCAGAACCTTGGGACATGGAGGGCACCAAGAAGGATGGCAAATGGGATGCTTTTAAACAGACCTAGCACATCATTATCCTGATTCAGGTGTATACTGCTCAAGCCTTTGGCACACATACAATCAGAGATTGTACGGGAAGCAGCAGTAATGAGAATCTTTCTCCCACTCTCATCTCCCACATTATCTGAAAAAGGCAGCATTGCCAATAGGATAACGGTATGAACATTTTATGGTTTATTTAATAGTGAGCACCAAGTTGATGCCGCCTTTTGCAACTAATGTGAATTTTTACATCTCGCCTGACATTACTTGTGCTTCACAGCATGGAAATGTTGAATGCTGTAGTCAAGTTTACTTGTGGCCAGAACTTGTTATCAACACAGTAGGTCTGTGCATGTGGTCCATGTACAGCATTATGTTATAACACCTGTACAGTATGGATTTCTGTTTAATGATTTTGCCCATTCAAGGGCTTCTTATTGAACAAAAGCAGGGCCCGCTCCCTCAGAGAAAAAAGAACACTTACTCTGCCCACTATGCATATGGTGGTAGCTATTTCCATTTCAATTGTGCATTTGTGTTTTGGATGAGAGTGGTAGACATCCCAGGTATTGATTCATGTAGCGAGATGCAGGTCAGCCTTTCAGTGATCTGTCAGGCCTCCTTATTCCTTTCTGCATTGTTCTCCCTGACAACCCTATTGGCTTTAATGTTACCCATGTTCCCACCTTACTGTTTTATTTAACTGCTCAGCTCTCCACTTTACCCCTTGAATCCTAGGTATACAGCTTAGTATTGCCAGATATGGTTACGCAATAACTACCCCCATCGAAGCCAGGGTGGTGGTGATTGTCAATAAATCGACCTTTCAAGGTACTCCTTGCCCTACCATGCTCTATCATCTCTCAGCTTTATGTATTGGGTTGCCCTACTTTGCAATTATTACTCCTTCTGCATCCCAAGTTGTTCCCTCCAAACCTCAAATTTCCACACAGCCTGACCCCTGACTTTCAGTGAACTGGATGAACTGTGGCCCAAACCTGTGACTGACTTGGAAAGGATGAGTGATGAGACCCGCTGACTGATCTCTGTGCAGCTCCTGACTGACCTTTCACTAATCCTACAATTGGTTGCACTGGACTTGCATGACTGACTGTGACCCACTCCTTGACCTGTAGTGGTATGGAATTATTTCACCTACTCACGTGCTCACATTTAATTTCTCTCCAATATATGGAGAATATCAAACTGCATATGAATGAGGTGAGATTAAGTTCTAATCAGATGCAAAAACACCTCTTGCTACTCACTAGTGAGATTCTTGTCTTGCTGTTCAAACTTTGGTAGGAAAATTGGACTTGTTATTTCTCAACATCAAGTATCGAATTTTTCCGATGTCATCACATTTTTCCAACCTACTTACAATTGCCCATGTTGTTCAGGGCTGGGAGAGCTCTGCTCACAATGTCAATTGTGGCTCAGTTGGTACCATTCTTATCTCTTAGTCTAAGGCTATGGGTTCAATTCTACCTCCAGTATTTCAGTGCAAAAATAAGACTGGTATTCTTCCTGAGGAAGAATACAGTGTTGAAGGTGCTATCTTTCAGATAAGAAGATAAGGCCCTCTCAGGTATGTGGAATAAATCCTACACCACTTCTTTGAAGAAGACCTTGTGTGTTATGCTCTTGTCCTGTCTAATGGCTATCCCTAAATCTGCATTACAAAATTAATGATCCAATCTCAATGAATTTGCTATTTGTGGAAGCTTTCTGTGTACAGTTTGCTGACTGCATTGGTGAGGATTACACCAGTGGGCATACTGCTGACGAGAGCAGGTTCGGGACCTCCAATTAGTCCAAAAACTGGCAGGAAAATTCAGCATGGCTGAATGGGAAAGGCATGGTGTAAATGCAGGTTCTCTCTTCTCAATTCAGTAAAAATGCATCAGGACAGCAGCTCCTTAAAGTTGATTCAGTACCTGTGTAAATTGTCTTATTAGTTGTGTTCAATGCCTTTATTCTTGGAGCATACATGGTAAAGATGTAAAAAGAATTGTGTTCCAATTATATACAGAGAATATTACAGGCATGTAAATTGCAAGCATTGAGGTTACCCAAATATTTCCTTTCCACAGCATCTCTCACAGCTTCAGTACAACTTCTTTCAAAATTGATGTAAATATTTGTTAGTGTAACAGGTTTCCAGTAGTGGTAGTGCAATGAAATGTAACAGTATTTAGACTCAGCTTTCCTTCCCACTTCATATTTAGTTTCACAAATTCCAGGTAAGTGATAATAGCCATGAAACTGCTTTGTCAATCTTAGCTATTAACCTCAGGAAGAATGAGAAAAGAGGTGATTATTGTTATTCTTTCATTCCATAGGGGAGCCATTTACACAAGAGGAGATGGAAGAGATGCTATCAGCTGCTGTGGATCCAGAAAAGAATGTCATCTTCTATAAAGATTTTGCAGCGATGATGACGATTGAAGACACCTAACTATGCTATTAGAAAAATCTTCGGAAAAATTCAAAGGCAAACCTCCTACCTACTCAAACTTAGCAAGATTTCAAATAAATGGATGCAGGGCATTTATTTTAAAATTGGAGCTGATCTACTTGGACAAAAATAAACCTTGATTCAAAAGGGAGTACAAAAATATGTCTAAAATATTTTTAAAAGTTTTTATTAGGAGAATTTATCTTATTATGTCTGAGTTATTACATTTTGTTTTTATATGTATAAATATTCATACAGAGCTTTTGTTCTTTGTGTCTGTTCAATATTGTGTGCCACAATTTCAAAGTTGAAACTCCACAGCTCTCAATATCTTGAGGGTTGTTCACTTTAGTCTACTCTCAAGACCAGTCCTCTTTATCCACCATGTAACCAATGCAAAACCAGGCAAGCTGATCGAACAGAGCAATTTCTTTAGAGATTTATTGAGGTTAGGTATTTGCTGGCTTCATTATATCTCTGAAAATTGTTCAATTTTGTTCAAAATTGCTTAAAATTGTTCAATGTAAACTTGAGGAATAGCATTTCATCCTATAACTGGGTGCTTCAAAGAATTTAGCACTACTTTAAACAGCTTCAGATCTCAACATAAGCTTCATGTATAGCACCCAATTTTTCTACTGTGCACTTTTCACAGGGTAGCGAACTCTAAAGGGTCACAAACCAATGAAACTTACTGCAGAAAGTTACTTCTCAATGCTAAGATCGATGTTCCTACATTACCTCTCAATGTGTTTAGTCAGTAAAGGGGATATTTCCAACAACTAGAAATAAAATAGTTCAGAGACTTTTAAAATTAAAATCTTTTTTCTCTCCTTTCTATTTTCTTTCTGTCCTGCTTGATCCTATTCATCTTCTCGCTTTATTTCTCCTTCTTTACTCAATTTTACCTAATTCATACTAAGTCCTTCTCCATCATTCCACTGCTATTTCTCTAGTCTTAGATTGCATTGATTATGGAGTATTCGTGTTGGTCCCATCATTCACCAAGGTCCCAGTGGACCTATTGCCAATTTGCACTTCAAGCAACTTGTAGGGCTGATGAGTAGGTGAAGAGTCGAATAACATGCACTGATCTGCTCCAGCCAATCAGGACTAAGATCTGTAATAAATCTGGAAAAATCGTTTAGACTGTTAAATTAGACCAACTACATTTCCCATTATTCAGAAGACAGGAGATTTTTTGAACATCCTATTTATTCTCCAAAGGGCAACTCATTATGACTGTAATTAATTGGCCATACCAACCTAAATGTGGCAGACAGCAAAGAAACAGCTTGCAGTCCATACGTAACTTGATGGGAGGACATTTCACTATCAACCACTTTAACATGGATTGAAGGTATGCAGAAACTCTGCAAGTGGTGGTCACAAGGGTCACATGGTAAGAGAGTGCTGGAGTAATTGTAACATCCTTCTCTGAGAAGCAGGCTTGGGGGCCCTGGCAAGATAGATACCTTCAGTTTGAGAGCCTATTCTATTTGCTAACTAGGGAGTCACCCAAAATCATTTCTAAAACCAACCAAGGACCTGCATTTTTGATGTAATGTTATGCCATTATTTCTCCTTATTCCTCCTGCATTCATTAATCAAGGTGGGATAGTGGTGACAAAGGGCACATTTATGCCCTATTTGTGCCCAGTGTCACCTCAACTTGATTGATTGATTTATTGTCACGTGTACCTAAATACAGTGAAAAACTTTGCTTATGAGCAGTACAGGCAGATTACAGCAAGTAAAGGACGTACAGATCAAAAAGACTTAGAGGCATGAGGCATACAGGTTACATTGCAGGTTACATTATTTGAGGCTACAATCCATTCAACAGTCTGATAACGGCCGGAAAGAAGCTGTTCCTGAACCCGCTCGTGCGTGTGTTCAGGTTTCTGTATCTTCTGCCTGACGGAAGAGGTTGTAGGAGGTCATTACCAGGGTGTGATGGGTCTTTGATGAGGTTGGCCACCTTTCCACGGCAATGGGCCATGTAAATGGAGTCCATGGATGGGAGGTTGGCTTCTGTGATGATCTGGGCTGTGCACACAACCTTCTGTAGTTTCTTATGGTCCTGGGCAGAGCAGTTGCCATACCAGGCCGTTATGCACCCAGACAGTATGCTTTCAATGGTGCATCTGTAGAAGTTGGTGAGGAACCTTATGGATGTGCCAAATTTCCTGAGGTGCCTGAGGAAGAAGAGACGTTGTTGTGCTTTCTTAACTGTCGCATTTACATGGCAAGTCCAGAACAGTTCATCAGTTCTTGTCACTCCAAGGAACTTGATGTTCTTCATTCTCTCAACCTCAGTTCCGAAGACTTAGTCACAGTGAAAGAAAGAATAAATTGAATTAATGTAGCACCTTTCACAACCATTGGATATGTCAAAGCAGTTTACAACAATTAAGTAATATGAGTCTGATACAAAGGGATCTCTTTCTCAGTAAAGGCAGATTATTTTGATTGTTGGAAATCTGAAACAAGCACAGAGAATGCCGAAGAAATTCAGCAGGTTTGGCAGAATCTGTGGAGAGAGAAACAGAGTTAATATTTCAAGTTTGGTACAACTGTACTGCAGAAGAGGCACTGGACACGAAGCACTATCTGTTTTTCTCTCTCCACAGATGCTGCCAGATCTGCTGAGTTTCTCCAACATTTTCTGTGTTTATCTCTTTCTCAATATTATTCTAATTTTGAAACTCAACAAAGCAAGCGTCCACCTCTCTCCACCTCTTAACTCTGACTGCACAGCTGCCATTATACAAGGCTCACTGATGAGCTTTAGGCATCCATTAATGCATTGGTTGTCTTGCTATTGCAGAGCTGTGTTTATTTATTTCAAAGCAGGACTTTACAGCTGAAAGAGGAGATTTTCATGCCATTAAACTTCTGTGGATTCATCTCGTGGTCCCAGAAGTGAAATAAAGCCACTGCATCATTCAGCCCTCATCTAGTTCAATACCTTCTGTATTATATGGGAAGAGTAGAAATGGTTGATAGGATTTACACCAATTCTAAATGATTTATGCCCTGTCACAGCATGTAACTGCATTATATCCATTTCAATTCTATTTTTCAATATAGCAGTGGTGCCCTTCATGTCATGGATAATAATGTCGAATGGTCAAAATTGAATGAAGTGAACAATCCACAAAGAGACTTTTGCATAACTTTGGACTCTTTCAGTAGGTTCCAACAACCATTCGAAAGATTTTCAGCAATATTTTGCTAAACGCTGCAAATTTTGAATGTTTTTAATGTGGTAAAGAATGTTATTGAAATATCTTGGCGAATTAGAAAGTGGGTGAATAGTAATTCGGGTAGTCCACATCTGCCCAGGATTGGATTAACAACTAAGTAGGTCTCCACATAAGAAAATAGAAACACAAGAATGAATTTTTGAACAAAATCTTTAAACAGATGTTTTGTTATTTTCTTGCAATGAAGATGTTGCTGGATATGGTCTACTCCATTTTCTTGTTTACTGCAAACTTAAATAAGAGGATATAAAGAGATAGAAGGATTTGCTGATAGGGTTGGAGGAAGTAGCGTGGGTGGAGTCTTGTAAGGAGAATTAACCCCAGCACAATACATTTCATCCAAATGGCCTGCTCCTCTGCTTGGCCTGCTGTGTTCATCCAGCCCTGCACCTTGTTGTCTCAGATTCTCCAGCATCTGCAGTTCCTACTATCTCTTATACACTCATGTAGTTGTCTTTTCCCCAAGACGGGGAATTTCAAAACTAGTGGGCACATTTTTAAGGTGAGAAGAAAGAGATTTTAAAAAACACATAAGAGGCAATTTTTTTTACTCGAGGGTGGTTCACATGTGGAATGAACTTCTTGATGAAGTGGTGGATGCGGGTAGTATCACAACACTTAAAAGACACTTGGATGAATATATGAATCAAAAGGTTTGGAGGCATATGGATCAGGAGAAGGCAGGTGGGGCTAGTTTAGTTTGGGATTATGTTTGGCATGGACTGGCTGACTGAAGGGTATGACCCTATGACTCAATGATATTAGCACATGAGCAAGGGACCATCTGAATAGAGATGTATCCTGCTGTATGTCAACAGTGTTCAGTATTTTGTGTACAAACATAGGAACTTAGATTAAGGAGCAGGAGTAAGCCTTTCAGCCCTTCAAGCCTGCACCACCATTCCATAAGATCATGGCTGATCTGGTTGTCATCTCAACTCTACTTTTTTGTCTACCCTCCCTTGACTCTATTTTCTATAGGAACATAGGGTTGGCTATTACTATGGAGTCTTAGCCTCACTCCAAAAAGTTAAAATTAAACTAATATTTAAGGTACTTCTGTAATTGTCCAGTTCTTATGGTGCATATCTTGCTGTATAAAACAGTTGGCCAGAAAGGATTAACTAATTTTTGGAATAGCTTCACCCACTGATACATGACTTCCTCTAGGAAGAGCTAGTTAGTTGTTCCAACTTATTGTCAGTTGTTAGTCAGTTCTTCAGTCAAGCTTATAACCATGACTTAGTTACTATTTCTGAGCAGATAACAATGTCTCTTAATTAGCATTAATGTAGTTAACTAGTCTCAAGCTAATCTAAACATAAATATCTGAAGAAGAGGAGTTCTGAAGAAGTGGGGCTTGAAATGTAATTGTGTTTCTCTCTCCATAGATGTTGCCAGACCTGCTGAGTCTCTTCAGCAATTTTTGTTTTTATTTAAATTAATGTAACCTGTTGTCTTACTGTTATGTAATACTTGTTACTCAAGTAAGTGCTTCTTCTGCCGAAGACTTATTCATGGTTAATCCTTTGTTATTTAGAACTACTAAGCTTTGTAGATGAGTATTAGAAAAAGGATTGGCAGTAGCAAATCTGTCCGAAGAATGTCCTATCAGGAGCCATCTGTGAGCATCTCTTACAACAACTTGCAAACGATATATCGACATCCAGCTCCCACATAATATGAATTAATAATCTGTAAACAATTGGAATCCAAACTGTCTGCAGGAATCTTGAAGGGTAAGTCATACATTAGGTATACTTTGCTTCCACCACAATGCAAATGATTTCTCTTCAAAGTATCAAAGTATAATTTTCATCAAACACCACCGTTTTCTTCACCAGCCAGCCATATTGTAGTGGTCTAACTATTAACTCACTGCTATGGATTACCTCAAATATTAAAATGTTCCTAGGGTGTG